TCTCTCTCTTTTCTTTAACGTTTCTCTCTCCATCTTACCCTCTCAGATCCACCCCACCACCTTCACCCCTCTTTATTGCACATATTCCCTCCTACAATAGCCTACCGTAACACTGCCCAGTTCTATTATACATCATTTGTAAAGAAAAAACCGCAGTTCGCGCTGGGTGACCATAGTTGGCGCCATTTTGTGTGTTCCTCTGGGCGTGCTGCACGCGGTGTTGCGAAGAGAGAGAGAGAGAGAGAGAGAGAGAGAGAGAGAGAGAGAGAGAGAGAGAGAGAGAGAGAGAGAGAGAGAGAGAGAGAGAGAGAGGAGGGTCCCTTTGTTGTAAGGTCCTTGTTCCACTATTATCCCCAGCGTGGCAAACGCCCCCCCCCCCTTTAAAAAAATCCCTAAATTAAAAAAAAGGGTGTTTAGCTAGTACGATTAGTGCCCATTTTTATTTTTTGAGACCCGAATTAATCTGATTCCGTTCTGAAGGAGATAGGAAAAGGAGCAAGCAGAATTTATTTATAAAAGCATTTATGTGAACGTTCATGCAGCACTATAAGAATTTCAGAGAGAATTCGTTTTTAAAAATGGTTTACTGCTCTGTGATCTAAATGTTCTGGAAAGCTTATTAAATTAGAGATGGTATTATAGACGCCTTAAAAAAAATTAAAAATCAACAACGAAATAAAAGCAAAGGGGAAAAAGCAACAAAGCAACAACTCCACACAAAAGCAAAACAGAAGCACTCATCTGAAGATTATATAATTTTAATAGATCTACAAGATATAATGTATCCTTTGCTTTTAAAAGTCGGCAGAAGCTCCCCCCCCCCCCACACACACCTAATCCGCCCTTCTTTGCTCTAGGCTAGGTCTATGTCAAGTCACGCGTGTGATCGAGCAACTGTTTAATTCGCACGGGTTTATCTATAAAACAAGTCGCAAGTCTTTATAAATACTTTGGCAATATATACGCACAGGGAAACATATTTATATATACATGTTACGTTGGTAGATGTGATTGCCTCTGCAGTGAACCCATCAGAGTTGAATCTAGATGTCTTTATTAAAAATAGCTGGATCATTATTACAAGAAATAGAGTGATAGGGTACGGAGTCGGGACATAGAGCTCTAACTAATAAACAGTAGGGGTCTCTCACGGGGGTCTATTGAACGGATCACCAGCCCTGTACGGCATTTTTATGGGAACAAACTGCTACGACTAGCTTCCAGTTGTTGCCGAGTGACACACGACACTGTCTCACCCTACAGTCCCACTGGCCTACGTCAGATTCCGACGAACCGACCACACGCACCTGTTTCCTCCTGCTGTTGCCTTCCTTCTTGAATATAATTTTGTTGGTAGTGCAGGTCTTGTTTTGACATAGATCTAGTTTTCTAATTGACGACCATGGCACGATACATTGCAAGAGAGCATTTACAAACACTTCAACAGTGTTTGTTCCGAGGTCCGGTGCAGTCTTTCAACCACCCGGTTCTTCGTTATCAGAACCTTTTGTCGGCACTCTCCACAGGTTCCTGCGTATACAGTCAGCAACGGCAACAGTCTTGTTGTTTCAGCTCTTCTTCAGTGCTCTCGCCCTGCCCTCGATATGGGAGGAACCAAAGAAGAGAGATATCTACATCCTTGAAAGCCTGTAGCATCAAAGGTACTGTAGCCGGCAGGAATTTGTTTGTTTGTTTGTTTGTTTGTTTTTGTAAAGTGTTTTACGGCGCTTGCAACTGCATAGGTCATATGAGCGCGCGGGACACACCTAATATTTTCAGTTGGT